CCCTGTTTTTTTTTTTTTTTTTTTTTTTTTTTGAGAGGTTTTCGCTATAGGGCACGTGCGCTCACCAGACAGAAAGAGAGAGACAGAGAGACAGAGAGAAATCACCCCCCAGGGGGGATGGCCACGCCACAATCCCTTCTCCTCCGTTCTCCTCTTGGGATCTTGGGCACGCATGCACACGTGCCTGGCGTGAGTTTTAAACCACCGGGTCCGGGATGCGAACCGCGGTCAACTACATGGGAGTCCAGCGACATAGCCATTACGCCAACTGCTGGTCCCGTAGCCCCCTGTTTTGCTTTTTGCTATTTTTCATCATCTCTTATCCTCCTTAAAATGTAAGCTCTGTGACAGCAGGGACCCAGTCTGTTCTGTCCGCTGCTATTCCTTAGTGCCCAGCACAGTGCCCGGTTGTTAGTAAAAACTGATGAGGTGATAATCGTAGTCACTTCTTGGTCGACGTTAAGGCTGAGGTAGGTATGACCTTGCGTACTTCCCTGTGTCACGTGTTAGACTCAGGTCGTGACTCGCTAGTATTATTATCTCCATCTTACGGATGATGACGCCAAGGCCCAGAGAGCTTTAATATCTTGCCGAGTCACTCATCTAGTGAGTAATAACGGTCAGGAGCTGAACCCAGAAAGTCTTCCTAAGTATTGCGATGAGGCCACTTGACATAAGTGAACAAATGAGTGAATGGCATGCCATCCTTGCCCTCACATGTCTCCCAGCACAGAGAGGGACACAGGCATGGAAACATCAGTAATGATCAAGAGGGGTGCAGAGCGAAGGGCTTTAGAACCTTGGTGTCGGATAGAGCTGTCCGGAGGGGTTGAGGAAAGTTTCTAGAGAGGAGGAAATGCAGAAACTGGATTTTGAAGGCTGTATATGTGCTCTGGAGTATGAACCCGCATTCTGGGTTCCCAGGGGGTGGAGATTCCTCTGGGAGAATCCGTGGCCCATTCTCCTAACCATGTCTTCCTGCCCGAAGGTCCTCATACCAAAGTCGTGCGGCGCATCTTCACCAACAGCCGTGAGCGATGGCGGCAGCAGAACGTGAACGGGGCGTTTGCTGAACTCCGCAAGCTGATCCCCACGCACCCCCCAGACAAGAAGCTCAGCAAGAATGAGATCCTCCGCCTGGCCATGAAGTACATCAACTTCCTGGCCAAGCTGCTCAATGACCAGGAGGAGGAGGGCACCCAGCGGGCCAAGCCTGGCAAGGACCCTGTGGTGGGGGCTGGTGGGGCTGGCGGTGGGGGTGGGGGTGGTGCGCCCCCAGATGACCTCCTGCAGGACGTCCTTTCCCCGAACTCCAGCTGTGGCAGCTCCCCGGGTGGCAGCACACAGCCCGCAGTCTCCATCCTGCCATGCTGCCCGCCACTGATGGAGCCGGCCCTCGGTGATGGGTCTGGAGACACCTGGGATCAGCAGGAGGGTGCCTTCAGGCTACTGGGATGGTGGGCTTCAGGGTGGGTGGGATGCGCATTGGGCAACTCTGAAGCAGGATGGTGGACTTGATGAACTTTGCTTGATGTCTGAACTTTGGGAAGCCCTAACGACCCCTGGGGCTGGCTTTTCTGTTTCCTGCCTCAGTGGGAGAACAGGAAAATGGAGCAAGTGGTAGGTACTTTCTATGAAGACGGCACGGTCCTCCCCTCCCCCAATCCCTAAGAAGCTCGGTGTCACCGCTTTTGCCCTGGAGTTTGGGGAGCCTTGTCTTTGCTGAGACCTAGGGTTGTCAGCTCTCACCCGAGGTGTCCAACAGCCTCTGCCTTGCCTTTAGTCCCTCCCAAGCTGGTGGGAGTGGCTTCGTGGCCACTTCTGTCTGAATATATAGGTACCCAATAGCTGCCCATTTCTTGAGCCCCATCTTCACCCAGGCCCCTGTTGGTCCTCCCAGCTCGCCGGCTGCTGCAGAGTCACAGCCTCGAGGTGCCTTCTTCAGGGCCTGGTGAAGGAAGACGGCCAGTGGACCTTCTGCTCTAAACCAGCTGGGCCAGCAGGTCCGAAAATCCAGTTGCCCCTACTTCCTGCCCTGGGGAGCGAAGCTTTGCTCTGAGCTTTGCCTCCCTGATCCTGCAGCTGTAGGGAGTGGGCCTGACGCCCTGAGCAGGTCTCGTGGGGCTTTGTGTGAAGGCAGAGAGAGGGAGAATGATTGTAGACGGAAATCGAGCAAGAGAGATCTTCTACATTGTCGTTCTTGTTGGTGAGCAAATGCCAGTGTGCTGATGGGCACACATATGTGCCGAGGACACATGTATGTGCTGATGGGTGTCCTCCTGGGCGCCCTTTTAGATGCTTAGAGGAATTCCCGTGCTGTAAGATGTTTGTCTGCCAAGAGCCTGGTCAGTGTCTGAACGGAGCGTAAACTCTGTCCTAGGAAATCTTTCGTTGGGAATTTTGCTTGATCACAGTTATTGGTGGGCTCTTTAGTCTTGATATGATCCAGGAAACACCTCCACTTCTAGGCATGGGAAATCCAGTCAGAGACCCAAATCTACATACGTTCACTTAGCAGAACTTTAAACACCCCTCCGCTGTACATCTTTCTGTCATCAGGGGTGTGAGTGGAAGGCTGGTGTAATGCAGTAGGAGTGCTCCCTCCGGAAGTTGTACATGGAACTTTTGTAAATCAGATCCTTACCCTTCATCTTTGAAAAACATAACTGCCACAAGTCCTTTTGTAAAGTGAAGAATCCTTTTGTAGAGTGGATGACTGCCCCCTTGTTTATCTCCCGTGTCAACCCAGAAGGTGGGATGTGGTTTTCTTGACGCTAGGTGGCCTGTGACCTGCTTTCTGAGCCTATTGGACACACCACACAAAAGTCCTGAATATCTGTCATCGTACCCTTAAGTCTTCCTAGCCTTGTTCCTTCAGGCTCTTCCTTTTAGGTCACCAGGGAAATAGCTATGGCCCTGACCTTTTGTGCAGAAGCCCATCACTGCGGCTGTCAGGAAAGCTCTCTCATGTTTTGAGTTCCATCCTAGTGACTTGTCCTTTCTATAATGGGGCCTTGGGTACCGCCATGTGGAGGTAGGAATGATCTCTGCTTCCCACCCATTCCTCCTTCCTCTTTTTTATTTTATTTTATTTTTTAAAGTTTGCTGTAGGGTACAAGCGCTTGCCAGAGAGACAGAAAGAGGGAAAGTGAGAAAGCACCCCCACCCCCGGGGCCATGCCACAATCCCTTCTCCATTTTCCCCTTGGGATTTTGGGCATACACTCATGCCCAGTTTGTCAGGGACTCGAACAACATAGTTGGCCACGTGGGATCCAGCGCCCTAACCAGCTTGCCACCTCCTGGCCCCCACTCCTTCCTTTTAAGTTGTGAGGTCAAATTCTTAGGCACGGGACAACATGGAAATTATTTATAGCACTCTGACACTCCATCCCATTTCAGACTCCCTGGATTGTATTTTGGGGCACATTAGGTTGGTTCCTTTCCAATGGTGAGAAGACCTCATGAGGAATTCCATCTGTCCAGAGATGGAGCAGCCGTTCTGGGCTCTGAGGCTGTGCTTGCTGCCCGGTGGATGGCCAGTGTGGATGGGTGATAGGTTTGGGAGGTGGGTTCCGCCCTCTATCAGGAACTCGAGCTTTTGGATCCATGTTCTCGCAGACGTACAATGTGCAGGGATTTCCCAAGTGCCCCGGCTTAGTCTGTTTCAGGACTGTGGTGTGGGCTGAATGGGGTTGTGAAAGTAGAGACCAGCAAAAGCTCTGTCGCCCTCAGCGTCAGTCCCACAGGGGAGTCTCTCCCAGCCTGACCTGCCTGACTGCACGGTATTTGGGTAATTTAGGCCGTAAACCACGTTTGTTTGACTTACCTAGATGGCCCTCGTTTCTTTATGTTATTTTAATTTCTGTCTCATTTCAAAGTAAGAGACAGGAGCGAGAATGGAAAAGAGATGGCAGCATGGAAGAATGTGTAAAATGTAATGCAACTACCCCCCAACGGGCAAGGCTTTAAGAATGAAACTCCATCCTGTGTATTTCATGCTCCATACCCTGTGGCCTTCTCCTTCCTCTGCCTCCTCCTCACTCATGAAGAAATGGCAACGTTCTAAGAATAATATCTGTACAAAAGGGGGAAAAAAGTAAAGGTTAAGAAAAAAAAATTTTGAAGAGAACACGACTTGTAACAATGGGAGGGAATCACAGCTTTTAAGACAAATTCATACTCTTTGACTTGTAGTGTCAAATGACAAGATGGTACAACCTTTATCCTTTTTGAAAAATGAAACAAAGGGCCCAGCATCTGTAGTCAGCCAGCATCGACTCCGGCCTTTTGGGGGTGGGTCTAGTACTTGTGATTGCGGTGGTACGTGACCTGCCCGAGGCCCGCCCTCTGCCCATGTACATAGCGCGTCGTCTGCGGGCGGGCCCAGCACTTTCCGTCAATGTTGTACTGTACGTGATGAGTTGTTGGTCTCTGCATTTTTCTGCAGAAGAGGAGTAAACCACTCCAGGTACCTTGACCTTTGTACAGCCCAGAGGCCAGCACTGTGGGCATGGGACTCTAGCGAACAAACCCATGTGGTGACGATGTGTGTATATATATAAGGATATATGGGGAAGATTTCTAAATAAAAGTTTTACAATGGGATCTGGACTCTGCTTGCATTTTGCATTTGTAGGCCTGAGAGTTAGGACGTTAAAAGGAAAAGCATGGCAAGAGCCATGCAATGGAGCAGGGGGGACTCCGGGACTCAGCTGCCCTCCTATAGGTGGGATTCCACCCCCACTCTAGGACAACACTGGTGGGGAGCAGCAGAGAGGCTTCCCCATTAGGGTTTCCATTCTCCTCCCTCAGCCAGGCCTTCCAGAGGGGCCTCTCTGCCTGCAGCCCTGCACCCATGCTTCCAGCTCAAGGCAGCCCAGCAGATGGTCCTTCTTTGTATTGCAGTCGGCTTCCAGGGCCGGGCCTGGTGCTTTTGTCAGGTCACCCTCGGAGAATCCCAGGTTCCTGTGACTTGATGGAGGCTGCGGCTCTCATGCCTGGCTCTCGAGGACTAGAGGTTTAGGCTTGGAGGCTGAAGGCTTTAGAAGTCGGCAAGGAGGCTCCGGAGCAGGCTGCATATGGCCTCGGAGGCTCCCCTGGGGGCTCAGGAATGGGAATGTGGCTCAGAACAGCGTCTCAGGGTTGGGGGGAAGACACTGTATGGACCATTGGGTCCTCAGGGACTTCGCTAGGTCAGGCAGGCATGTCCAATAGGGTATTCATCTTTTCTCCTTTTGTTCATTCTGCAAATATTCATTGAGCGCCTACTGTGGGCCAGGTATTGTTCTAGATGCCGGGACCTAGCATTGAACAAAGCAAGATCCCTGTTCTTTTTTTTTCTTTTTTCTTTTTTTTTTTTTTTGAGGGGTTTTTCCTGTTGGGCGCGGGGGGCCC